CAATTCCTCACAGGAGAATCCCATCAGTACCTTCCCCCGCCTTCTTACCAGACTCAGGCAGGGAAAGACCACTTGCTGGGCTTACATTGAGTAGCAATGGTGTAATCAAATTAAATACAATATATAATATAAAACGTTTAACAAACCACCTTAATGTCCATTTGAAGTGGTTGTTATTAGCTGCGCTGGAGTCGGCCCTGACTCATGGAGACCCGGGCACAAAGGATCAAAATGCTCCTCCTGATCAGAGAGACAGAGCCTTGGGGTCTCTATTCTGGCTGATTTTCAGACGTAGATTGCCAGGCCGTTCTTTTGCAGTAGGTTTAAAATGAATAAAAAATATGGAAGTTTTTCAAGGTGGCCAATAAAAAGAGTGGCTAAATGAATAGCTACCCCCCTCCTCTCCTCTTTGTTGTTTTCAGGTGCCACCAAGTCAGTTCACACGTATGGCAGCCCTATGGAAAACTGGACCAAACACTGCCCGCTCCAGTGCCAGCCTCACCATTGTTCTCATGTTTGAGCCATTGATGCAGCCTCTGTGTCCATCCACTCATTGAGGGCCTGCCTCTGTTTTCGCTGCCCCTCCACTTTACCAACATGATGTCCTTCTCCGGGGACTGGTCTCTCCTGACATGTCCAAAGTATCTCAGACAAAGTCTGGCCACCCGTGCCTCTAAGAAGCACTCTGGCCCTACTTTTTCCAAGGCGGATTGGTTTGTCCTTTCAGCAGTCCGTGGTATTTCAATATTCTCCAGCACCGCCATTCAAATGCTTCGGTCTCCCTTAGTCAACGTCCAGCTTTCACTTGCGTAGGAGGCAATGGGAAATCTCATAGCTTGGGTCAGGCGCGTCTCAGGCCTCACGGAATCATCACTGAGGATGCTATCTGCCTGTCAGTTTGTTGTCCTGTGGTGGCTCATGCTGCTCTGATGCTGGAAGCTATGTCGTTGGTGTTTCACATGCCAGCAGGGCCACCCAAAGTGAACGGCTTTCAGTGGCGCTTCCACACTAAGCGCAGACTATGAGGAAGCACTCAGCTGCCCACGTTGGAGGAATGAGCCACTGAAATATGCATAGCGTGGAAACATCGTCAGCTGCTGGAGCTCCCCCCACCCCCTTTAGGGGCCATCATTTCCTTCTTGGGTTATTCCCTTGCTTCTCAACTCATTCTCGATGTAGCCTACTCACCCCCATCAGGTGAGTATAAGACATTGTAGAACTGCCCTTTTGGTTTCTGTGGCTATCAGTCTTTACAGGCAGTTCATGGAGTGGCTGGGAGATTCGAATGGTGTGACAGTGACTGTATTAGGTTAGCAATCGAACGTGTTACCAGCAGCCCTTGGCAAATCGAACCGCGCCATCCCCTTCCTTGCCTCATCCTCCTGGATGGCTGTTCCGTGCAAAATTCTAAAACAGAACCTCCAAAGCTGGAGTTCCAAATCTCTCTCCTCTTCACACTCCAGTTACATCAGCCGCCACCAAGCTTCTAGCTCCTCCAGCTTCAAGGTTCAGTTTAATTTCTCAAAGACAAGTTCTCAAGAACCTACCTCCACCCCACCCCACCCTTGGTTAAAAATCTTGCAGGTTAGACCTTTTATGTCCTTTTTGGGTAGTTCTTACACAAATATTACTAGATGTTGCCTATGCATTGCTGTGTTTCTTATACAAATAACACGCTCCTTCTAAGTCTGCTTGCTAATTGCTAATATCCCCTGGGAGAGATTTCTCCAGCAGTGTTATCTCCCCGTCCGCCATCCCCACGTCCACCTAGTGTACTAATAGGATGCTTTTGTTAGAGTTTAAAATCGATGAGGGCACAAATGCCTCTGCTTTGGTCACCATTTGATTGGTTGACTGGCTTGTGGTGCCTGACATCGATGCTGTGTGCACACTGGTTCACTGGATGAAGACCGAAGAAATCAGGATATAAAAAAGAGAGTCCAGTTTGGTAAAAGAGGGACCAAAGACTCACAGTGGCCCAGCCGCCTACCCTCATGGCCGAGAAAGGAAGGGCTGCTTCCCCAGGCTGAGTAATGGGAATAAGCTGGTTGGGAAGAGCCCTTAGGAGCCCTTAAGGTTCCTGTCCGGTCAGCTACCAGGCCTGACAAGGAGCGCCTGGGGGCTGTGTGTGTATGTGTGATGCTTCCTGTGGGGCATTCAAGGCACAGGGACTGGAGGACAGGGCGAGGGTGGATAATGGTGGATAATTCCTGTGAAAAGAGGAGCAAGCGGAGCCTTGCCCGGCGGCTTGCAGCCCAGGCAGCATTTGGGCGTCCCCTGGAGGCCACGCGGTGAATGTCAGACACTGGAGCCCCGTGGAGAGGACGCCTTGCATTCGGTGCCTCCCACTGCAGTAAGCCCTCCCAGAGTCCATGCGCAAGAGAGGGGGCTGCCTGCCACAGGAGTGGCCATGCTGCACCTTAGCTGTGAGCCCTGGAGGGGAGGGCTAGGGCGACACTGTTGCCTCCTCTTTGTCAAAATCCTGACCAGACTGGTTTAGCTGCCATCCCAAGGCTTTGTCTTGTATGTCAAATGATTCTGCGACTCAGTCCTCCAGAGGGCCGGTGCCCACCTTCCGTCACCACACCCACCCGAGGTCAATGCGCTTTGGCAGCAGCACCACGTTTTGGCACCCTCCCCTAGGCTCTTCTGGAGCCGTGGAGCCCTTACTTTCCTGTTTAGCTCCGGATCGAATGTCTGTCCCCCGAGAAGCCCCATCACTCCCACGTGACACGTGCCTCTCGGTTCCCGGACCGGCTGTGAAGCGTTGGCAGAGCCCTCCTGGGTTCGCGGGCAGAGCCGTTTTCCCATGCGCTCTTTGCTTAGCCTAGAGCCCATTCCCCGGAAGTTCAATCAACACATTCTGAAGCAACGAAGCCGTCCATTTATTGAACTTTCCCAAGTGCAGGACCTTGTTTTGGTGGAGTGTCCCGGAGGCCCTGAAGGGGAATGAGGGCTGGGACAGGGCTAGTGTGTAGCCCTGGGAGCCAGGCTTCCTTTCAGAGCTGGGCCAGGGGAGTTACTGAAGGAGCTAGAGCAGGGCATCATTGGCTGTCAGGCTGCAGATGGGGGCCGGGCTGGAAGTGATGTGGATGAGATGCCTGTTTGATGAATGTGGGTGGTGGAGGCACAGAGATTTGAATTTGACTGGTGTAGCCCAGAAAGTGGAGCTTGGGTTGGAAGAAGGGCAGAGCTCAGCAGGCAGAATGGCAGGACCAAGGGAAAGAAAGAGCAGCTTGGCTTCACTCTGGGGGTAGGTGACCAAGGAGAGTGGTCCATTATTCCCTACCCATCCCCAGTTCCTTTCACAAGGAGGGGTCCCCATCACCTTCCAATGCATTTAGTTTGGGGTCTGGGCTGAAGTCAGAGAAAAGCTAGTTGGAACAAAAGAAGAGCCTCGCCCCCCCAACAAAAGCAAGTCCATGGGGTGGAGGTGGGGGGCTAGGAGGCCCCCTTCAAGTAGCTCAGGTCTGGGCAGCTTGTGCTGGGCTTGTGGAAGAGTTCCTCTCACAGAGGCTCCACACCTTGGGAGACAGCCCCAGCACAATGGGCTTGCGGGTCTGCGAGGCTGGGCCACCAGTCTTAACCCACCTGTCCACCCACCCTGGCGGCAGGAGTGGTATTGCTGGCGCTGGGTTTTTCTGAGCGGTCAGCTCTGAGAGTGCACACTCGGACTGGTCCAGTGAAGATGTTTCCACGGTGGGCAGGGCCAAGTAGAGCTGGGCAGGCCTGCCGGGCGCCGCCTCACTCCTCCCAAGGGCTCATGTCCGTGTCAATGGCAACGCAGTTGTAAGCGGCATAACGGAGCTTCTCCTCGCATACCTTGGCGCTGTGGGATGGGGGCGCTCAATCAGTGTGAACTGTGGAGGCCCCACATCAGCACCACGGGGAAGGGGCTGCAGCTCGTAGTATACCTCTGCGCCAGATGTCTTCTTCCACCTACGGCTGCCACCTGCCATCCCCTCCCCCCCCTCAGGCCTAGGAAACTCACCTGGGATAGTGCGGCAGGAAAAGCGTGCTGGAGCAGGTGGAAGACTCTGGTAGCGCGTCTGTGGTTTCATAACTGGGGGTACAGAGGGACCACAGATCAGGAAGACTTGCAGGGGCACAGGGCCAGGGGCCCAAGCATCCCAGAGGCTTTGGAGCCAAGCTCCCCTTAGCACTGACCCCAGCTTGTCTGGGTAGATGTAGATCCGCGCTGGCAGGCGGCTCCGGCCCGTGACAAAGCGCAGGAAGCGGCTTCTGTCCTCTAGAGAAGGCAGGCAGTCAGCACTGGCGCCAGACAGCCTCCCTACCCCACCTCTCCACTTCCCAGGTGGGGTCCAGGTGAGGCCCTACTCCATCCGCCCTCCTCACTGACCATTGGTGAAGTTGTTCAGTGCCTCCCAGAAGTATTGCACCCTGGTATCGGACGGCTCGAAGTCTTCAAACCGGGCTGGGGGAAGAGATTCATTCTTAAGTCCTGACCTGCTGGACCCTAAGTCAACCCTCTGCCTGCTGCCTTGACCAGCCCGCCCCCTCCCCCACACCCGGCACCAGAGGGGACTCACTGAGTTTGCGCAGAGCGTCCACAGTGACCTCAGGGTCCCCGCACACCTTCTTCTCCAACTCCTGCCATGTCAGCAAGTCCAGCACAGCCTGTGGCACCACCTTCAGCAGACCTGCCTGCATGGCTGCCAGCTGTGGGGGGCAGGGGCGGACTCAGCGGGGAAGCAGGCCTAACTTCTGGCTCAGCCTGAGCCTCCACTCATTGAGATAGTGGGGTGGGGGAGGGTGGGGAACAGCATGGGACTTTGCCCAGCACTGGAGACAGCTCTGCACCCCACTGATGAGCCCAGGAGTCCTGGGAGCCAATATTCTTAGGCTCCCAGGGGCCAATCAGGTTGCGCCTTGGCTACTAAAGACTGGGAGGTTGCAGGGTGCAAGGCTCACAGCCCACTGGCCTCGGGGCAGTACCTGCTCCTTGCTCTCCTCTAGCCGTGCCTTCTGCACCAGCTGAATGAAACGGGAGCGGTCTTCATGCCCCACCACGATGCCTGCGCCCCCTGGGATCAGCTCCACCACCTGCTGGTCACTCAGTACAGTGGTGAAAGTTAACTCCTTCCCAAATTTGACCTCGAATGTCTCCTTGTCCATCCCTTCCATCACTTCCAGGAGTTTCACCTGAGGCATGGAGAGAGGCATGGAGGCCACCGTGAGAACATGGTGGGAATAATCCCTGCCTTTCCTCCAGCAGAGGACTCAGCCAGGGCAGGACAGGAGTCAGCACAAGGGCTTGAAAACACAGAGATCATGCCTAACCGGTCTCGGAGGCCAGGGACAGCGTCCTGGCAGAAATGACCTCTAACCTCATACCCACGTGATGACTGGGCAGGGTCACATGGGAAGTCCGGGGTAAGAAGATCTTGGAGAAAGGTGGAGGGAGCAGAAGACCCGAGAGATAGGCTTGTCTGGAGCCTGGACCTAACCAAGTGGTCAGGGATACAGGCATTGCGAAAGGTCTGCTCAGAGTCTGCATTCTCTGCAGCCCCGGCAGGGGGCAGGGCCGCTGGAGAGCCCGAGCTAAAGAGTGGGCTGGAGGGACGCACGCTGGATGCTGGGGACCTCACAGGCAACAAGCGGATCAGGCACGCCAGTGTTTGCAGCTATGTGGCTGGGTCAGAAAGCAAGGTGGCCTGAACTAGCGGTGTTTAGTGAGGAAGGGAGCAGTGGACAGATTCCCCTCCAGAGGGAAATTGACCGAGGGGGAGGGGTGAAGGGCAACTCTGCCCGTTTGGGCCTGGGCAGTGTGGAAGCGGTGGTGGCGGACCAAGATGGGGAGCCTGCGAGCGCAAGGGACTGGGGAGACGGTGAAGAGGTCCTGAGCCTGAGGTGCCGCCTGCAAGAGGCAGGTGCATATTAGGCCCCAGGCTTAGGGGTGGCTGGGGCTGGCGGTCAGGATTTAGGGGTCATCAGAAAAGGGCTAGTAGTTGGAGCCATAGAGATAGCAGAGGAGAATGGAGGGAAGAAAAGGTCTTGGCCAGAGCCCTTGGGTGCAGCAACCTGGAGGCCCCACTCACCAGCACGGAGTCCACAGCGGGGAAGTCCTTGCTCCAGCTCACCTCCTCCCCAGAGAGCTGCTTCCATACAAAGCCGGGCAGAGCCAGGACCTGGGGAACAAGGACTCACTGTGGGCTTCTCACCCCGAGTTCTCAGGCTTGGCTGGCCCTACCTTCCTGCCAGGGCCCTAAGCATGGAACCCTTTGTAGGGGTGCAGAGGGGACTACTCACCAGGAACTCCTTACCCCGAAGGGCAGCCCCCATCAGCTGGCCGATCCACTCGTACTTGGCAAAGTCTTGACAGGAGGGGTTGGGTACGTACATGTCCCGGGCCTCCCCGGTACCATTGCCCTGGCCCAGAGAAGGAGCTGTCAGCATGGCATGGGATGAACCCTATGCTGTTACCCCAGACCCTGGGAGCCCCGAATGATCCCCTCTGAATGCACGATGGCTTTTCCTCCCCTGCCTGTCCTGAGGCTGCCCAGGGCAGACACAGAGGAAGAGTGTGGGAAGTGGGGCGGGCAATTACCTGGTTGGCTGTGCGCACAAAGAAGGGCAGGGGCACAGGGGTGTCTGCTGAGCTAGGGCACAGCTCTTCCGACATGTCAGCGAGGCTGTCCCGAAAACCACCCCCTGAAATCACAGATGTCCTCAGATGTCCTCTGCTGAGCATTCAGCAGCTCCAGGGGCGACATCCGGGACCCCTTTCCATGAGTAGCTGGTGACCCCAGAAGCCTTTACCTCCCTCACCAGGGCACATAGAACTCTGTGCCCCCTCTTAGGGCCTCACCTTGGTCAATGATGCCTTCTGCGATGAACTTACACTCCCACCACTGGTCATAGCGCATGGGCCACCTGCAGGGGTAGAGCACTGTCAGCAGGGTGCGCCAGGACCAGCCAGGAGTCAGGGATAGAGAGGGACAGAGCTGGGGGTGCCTGGGGCAGCATGCAAGTGTATGAGGGTGCTTCAAAATGTTCATGGGGAAAATGGAATGAAGATAACACAGAATTTTCCCGAGCTCTGCGAAGCCCTCTCATGGTGTGCATATGCATACCCTGATACCTTACCTGTAGTCCAGGGGCTTCTCGTACTTGTCAGAGGGCTTGAGGCCTTCATAAACCTGGGGGTGGGAGGGAGGGAGGGAGGAGGGAAGTCTGTGTCAAGGCCTGGCCCTAGTCTTGCCCCAAGCCCTTGCTCAGCTCCCTCAGTTTGACCCCACCCAGGTGGCCCAGACCTGGGTGAAGACGGCGTTCTTGCAGGCAGGGTCCCTCAAGGGGCAGGCGCGGTGCTCCATGGCTAGGCGCCGGTTGATGTACAGGCGCGGCATGAAGCTGGGCTTGCTGCTCTCTGAGTCACGCAGGCACTGGGCCACCAGGCTGGGCCGCTGGCGTGACAGCAGCAGAAACTGCTTCACTTGCTGGTGAGGAGAAGTGGCCATCTCAGGGCCAGGGGAGAGTTGGCCCCTGTCTAGGCCCTGGCACCCTCCTCTAGGCCTGGACCCAATTCCACAATTCTAGCCCTAGTCCATGCTGTCCTTGCCTCCAGTCCCTCCCTTAGTCTAGTCACCAGTGTGACTTTCTAAAACCAACAATCCCTGCCTTACTTACAACCGTCCAAATAGATCCACTGACCAGGGACGAAGTTCCCGTTTCACAGCCTGGCCCACTTCCTGCCAATAATGTCCAGTGGGTACACTCACACAACCTGCGATGTCCATGTTGACACCACTCTTCCTACGGCCCTTGTGGGTCCCACACATGTGTCTGTGGAATAGCCTGTCTCCCCCACCCCGCCCCCAACACTATGTTTTAGTCAGTCGTATCTGCCTTCTTTGGGTTCACAGAATCCACTGAGCAAAGGGCCAGGCCTAGAGAAGGTTTGGGGAAGTCTGTTGAGGAGCGAACAGCTACCGGAGGGCCTCCTGGCAGGGCCGACACCAATACCAGGTGGACCAGCTCACCTTAATCTCACTGAAGGTGCCCAGTGTGTGGTCCCAAGCAGGCACCAGGTGGTGCAGGACACTGTCCAGGATCTTTATGAACCTGGGAGGTGGGGTGGGTAAAGACAAATGCGGCTGAAGAGCTGGGCATTGAGGTAGCTGCAGAGCCCCCTCCCCAATGAGCAGGAATAGGGAGAAGCTAGGGTACCCGGGCTGCTCTGCCCCTTGAGGTGGAAGCTTCAGGTATAAGACCTGGGGGACCTTCTCCACACAGACACTAAAGCCTGAAGTGGGGGGAGGAGAGGGCCTGAGAGGTCCAGGGCCACAGTCACCTCTGCAGGAGGACAGCTCTGCGGTATAGTACTTCCGGGTCAGTGCCTTCCAGGCGTGGGTATCGCACCAGACTGGTGGGCTGGAACAGGTCTGCATTCAAGCCTAGTTCTCGCTGCCTAGATGACTTGATCTTGACCCCTCGGAGACGCACGTCGATCCCATCATCTGAGGGAAGGGGTCAGAGTGCGTCTGCTACCTCCTTGGCCCTAGGCCCCGGGAGAGCTCCTTACAGCTCAGCCTTTTGCCTCCCTGAGCCTTGAGAGACTCAAAGGCGCTGGAATCCTCTTCTACTCTTCCGACTGATTTCCCTATTCTCCATGGCTCTCCCATGCACCGCTATGCCGCTGGGAGCCCTGAGCCTTCCCCTCCAGGACAGCTCCTATGGCTCCATGGTCCCACCCACCTGGCTCAGGTCCCCATGCCGCCCATCCTAGAGTTTACTTCAGTCATTGCCTTCACCCCAATTCCAAGCCTTCTCCTTTCCACACCCACCGCCAGCTCCTCCCAGCTACACACTGGCCCCGTTCCCTCCCATTGCCTCCAGTCCTACCTCGGCACTCGACGATGCGGATCTCGATGATTGGGAGGTGGACGGTCATGTCCTCCAGGACACAGACATCCCCGATCAGCGTCCTGAGGAGGTGAGGGCGGGCCCCTTCAGACATGCCCTGTCCAGTCCAGCTCTCCAGGGACTGTGGGGTCCTGCTCGACCTTCCTTAGGTCAGCCCCCATTACTAGGCTCATCCCTCACTCCAATCCCACAACACCCTGGGCCGGCTTGCTCACTCGTCAATGCTCACGTCGCTCAGCTTCTTCAGGTTGTCCCCTTCACCCCCATAGACCACCACGCGCTTGGGCATAAAGTTGTCATCGGTGGTGTCCACTGTGAGGAGCAGCTTCCTGGGGAGTCGGACAGAGTATGCACATGCGTCTCTGTACACCCACACGCTGGCGGGTCACCCACCATGCTGTAGTCCACAGTCCACTCACTTGACGATGGTGCCTTTCTTCATGGTAAGCCGCACCCAGTGCTGGCACTGGGACCCGTCACTCTCCCAGTAGGTGTCTGCATTGCTATCTGTCAGGCAGGACACATTGAACTCCTCCTAGGGAGGGGCAGAACAATGGGAATGAGCAGTGACCCCCACTCTCTGCACCAGGGGGGTACCTTGGGCCAGGGAGCCAGAGAGAAAGCACAGTAGAGCTGGGTTAATGGGGCAAGTAGCAGCATAGTGGGATGCCTCGGCACCCCTACAGAGCATTCAACAGGGTGGGGGTGGTAGGGGGCATTTGAACTGGGTCTGGCCTCTAGGGGTTTGGGTTTGGGGTCTGGCCCTGTCCTGGAGATGGGGATTCTGAATCAAGATGTGAGGGGGCTCTGGCTGCATCTGGCCTGGGGTGGGGCGCCTGGAACCCACCGTGTAGGAGGACACGTCTATGCTCTCCACATACTGCTTCACGCTACCCAGGTTCTCATCCTCCTTGCCCAGGTGGTCGTACAAGAAGTGGATCAGGTCCTCGTCGCACTCGTAGGTCCACGTTGGGGGCACATAGCTAAGCAACCCCAAGCCCCTCATTAGGTCGGGCCCAGACCTGGAGCTCCCTCCTCCCCAGCCCAGGCCGGCTCACTCACAGCAGCCTTTGCAGAGCTTCCGTGTACACCTCCGCGGGCTGAGGCTTCGCTCCAAGGCGATGGGAGTATGTCAGGTCCACAACTTGCTCCCATCTGTGGGCACAGGGTGGGGGTGGGATGAGGGAGACCTGAAGTCTCCTCTAGGGAGCCCCTCCAGACACACACCCCAGAAGCCCCTCTGGTCCCGCCCCTTCTGGCCAAGTCCACGCCCATCTGCCCCTCTCCTTCCGGCCAATGACTTCTTTCCAGCTCCTGCCACCCGGGGTCTGACCGTCACGCCCACCCCTTCAGGTGCCGGACCTCAGCACTGGCCGGTAGTCTACACCGAAAAGCTGCTGCTGCCGCTGGAGGTGGTCCGGGGTGTCAATGGGCACCAGGCGGGCCCCACCTTCCGCCGGGCGGCACACCAGCAGCCAGCCTTCCTCCAGCCCGCAGTCGCCCAGGTGCTCAGCCAGTTGCTCCTGTCGGAAAGCACCAGATGGAGCCAGGCGCCAGGGAGCCCAGCCCTGCCCTGCCCAGAGCAAAGGACACCGGACACCGAGCGTCGGGAGGGAGGGGGGTGCGGGTGCGAGGTCCGGGCCAGCTCCGTCGGGGGTTGGGGAGAAGCGGGCTGGCCGCCGGGGCCGCACCTTGGTCAACTTCACCCAGAGCCCGTGGCCGTTGCACAGCTCCTCCCCGGTCGTGCGAACACAGGCGCCGCGCCGGAGCTCGATGCTGTCGCGGGCAGCGCGGAGCGGCCCGGAGCCGGTACCCGGAGCCGGGCCCGAGGCGCCCACGCGCAGCCCCAGGCCCTCCGCCTCCCACACCGGCAGCAGCACGCGCGACGGGCCCGCCGGGTCCTTGTACAGCTTGTAGAGCACCTCGCGGGGCACGAAGGCCAGCGCGGCGGGCAGGGGCCGCCCGGCCCGGAGGCTCCGCGCCGCCTCGGCCAGGAAGCGCACGCGGCCCAGCAGCTGCCGGGGCGACTCCAGCGCCGCTCCCGGGCTCGGGCCCGCCATGGCGAGCTAGGAGAGGGGAGCCCGGGCGACCCGGCCCCAGAACCCCGGCCGCGGTGGCCGACCTCGCTTCCCACCACGCCCGGCCCCGCCTCCGGCCCGCCGCCCCCGTATGTTCTGGACTACGCGCACCCGCTGCAGTTGTCTGGCCTCGTGCAGGCGTTTTGACCTGCTGACTGTTCCCCTCTCTAAGCCCACTGCCATACCCCCGCTCAAGCCTGGCATTTTGTTAACGGTCATTTTTCTGGGCTCCTGTCTCTTTCTGGCCCCGCGTCCCCCACCCGCAAGTCGTCGCTGCACTGCCGGAAGCCGCTTTTCTGGATTCCCTTAATTGGGGTGATGGACTAGAATGTTAGGGGAGAATGGACCCCACCCCTGCCCAAACGCTAGTGTTAGGTCCTTCTGTTTCCATCCCAACCGCTCTCCTCTTCGCAGGACGTTGGTGCTCAATAAAGGAGTCCTGGTGGCTCAGTGGGTTAAGTGCTGGGCCTAACCGTAAGGTCTGTGTTTCAAAACCACCAGCCGCCGTGCAGAAGAATGTACAGTTTTGGGAACTCTAAGTAGCTTTACTGTGAACCAGATCGACCCCATGGCAGTGGGTGCTGATGATTAGGAAGCCCTGCTGGCTCAGTGGGTGTGCGGCTGGCTGGTCGCTAACTGAAAGCCCTGGGCGGGCGAGCGCTGCAGCAGCGAGGCTTCCTAAAGACAGTCTCAGAAACCCCATAGGGCAAGGCTAGTCGGCCCTATAGGGTCGCTGTGAGTGAAGCTGAGGTCACAGTGTGCGTTCAACGGGTTAGTGATTTTTATCCAGCTTGTTCCAGTAAGTCATTCTGAAGCAGATGCCCCCCTGGTGGGAAAGGAGGAGCAGGGAACGACAGGAGCTGTTAGTGAAGGGCAGTTTTAAGGAGAAAAGGAAACTTTCTTTGACATGATTTTTACATCATTGATGCTATTGAGAAAGAAATCATGTATTTTTCACAGTTCATTTTAAAAATTTCCTTCTAGGAAGTTGGCAACAGTGCCTCTCATAGCTTTTCTCCAAGCTATTTTATGTTACCACCCTTCTCCGGGGAGCCCCCTCGGCTTAGTGGTTATGCGTTAGCCTGCAATCTGCAAGGTCAGCAGTTCAGAACCTGGTTGCTTCCAGTTTTCCCTCTTAAAACATTTACCATTGTGCTTATGAGTTCTCTGATGGTTTCCCCATCAGTGTCTCCCTCTATGAAGGTAGAGAAGGCTTGTTCACCGCAGTAACCTCTTCAGAGTGACCCTCCCGTTAAGGACTGGGTAGGACCGCCTCTGTGAGTTTCTGAGCCTGTAACTTTTAACAAGAGTAGAAAGCCCCATCTTCCTGCCCCAGAGCGGCTGGTGGTTTTGTGCTGACCTTGCGGATCGCAGCCCAAGCCCAACGTGTAACGTGTAGCCTCTATAAGGGAATCCATAGAATGATGTTGGTTCCCTGTACTGCCTCCGTCCATCTACCGCTGCTTGTTTTGCTAGGCCAGATATGAAATTCAGTCATGGAAGATGGGGGTATGAGACGTGGGCCGACCCCTTTGGGACTCTCAGGCCCTCTTAGAACAAAATGTTTACGCCACTTAAAGCTGTAGCCGGAGCAGGTTTTTTGGCATTTGTTTCTGCGTCGCTACTGTAAACTTTACGGTGAGAAAGGTAGGGGGTCCAATGAGCGGCGGCCCGGAGCTGTCACCGGAGAGATCACGTGATTTCAACATGGCGACGCCCAGGGCTCGACGCAGGAAGGGGCGGAGTCCGGGCAGGCGCGGGTTTGGCGGCAGGTTACCGGGAGGACGGTGCTGACACACGCACGCACACACACACACACACACAAGGCTGACTATGGAGGCGAAGGAGTGGAGGTGAGTTCTCCGTAGCATCCGGCATGCCAGCGTCGGAATGGAGCATTCTTAACTCATGACCCTGCCCCTTGACCCCGCTCCTGAAAGGAGATCCCCGAACCCGATGCCCAGGCGCTTTGGTCTTGGATTTCTGAGAACTTCAGCTCGGGACTACGTCTCTCAGACCGTCGTTTAATTTAACCGGTTCTCAACCTTCCTAATGCCGCGACCCTTTCATAGTTCCTCATGTTGTGGCGGCCCCCTCACCCCCCAACCATAAGATTATGTTCGCTTCTACTTCATCACTGTAATTTTGCTACTGTTATAAATCGGGCGACCCCTTTGAAAAGGTAGTTTGACCCCAAGGGGTCGCGACCCACAGGTTGAGAACCGCTGCTCCCAGGACTTTCTTCTCCAGTAGGATCCTTATTTCAGGATCCTCAAATATGATAATGGCAGTCTAGGAGTAGCCCGGAGCTAGCCTTCTGGGATTGCTGTCCCAGAACATTTTCTGGTGCAAAGACCTCCAACTCCACCCCACCCCCTCCAGTTACTTTAAGCTGGGAGCAGGACTGTCCGGGGAAGAGGCCCCGCCCGGGCCCTGGGGGAGCGCGGGCACCACCCGATAGGCCGAGGAAGTGGAATGGGAGGGGGAGCTGCCGCTCCGCAGCAGGCCTGCAGGAGGCAGATAGCGTCCCAGAGAATCCACCTAAGGACCCACGCCGTCTCCCGCCTTACCCACTCCCCACCCCGCTCAGAGCCTACCGTCTTAAACTGACTCCTCCCCTCCTTCCTTAAACTGCACTCAAGACCCCAGAGTTTTCCGGAGCTGAAGAATGACACGTTCTTACGAGCAGCCTGGGGGCAAGACACAGACTATACTCCTGTTTGGTGTATGCGGCAGGCAGGCCGGTACTTACCAGGTCAGGGCCAGGGCCGGGGTAATGTAGGTAAAAACCTGCAGGGAGGGGCTCCCTAGGGACTCCTAGTGGAATCTAGCCGTCTCTCTCCTGCCTATAGAGTTTAGGGAAACCCGGGCTGCCCAGGACTTTTTCAGCACCTGTCGCTCCCCTGAGACCTGCTGTGAACTGACGCTGCAGGTGAGGGGGCTGACAAGGAGGGAGGGGTTACTTCGCCCAGCCTGCCATCCAGCAACCTGTCTCCTATTCCCCACAGCCCCTGCGTCGCTTCCCTCTCGATGCTGCCATCATCTTCTCCGACATCCTTGTTGTGCCTCAGGTACCAGGGCAATCCTGATGCTAGAATGGGTATTTGTTTTTAAATGGATAAGCAGCCTTACTGACCAGAGGGGCACAATTAAGGCAGGCGATTGGAAGTTTGGCCTGATGTCTCCTCTCTTGTTAGCACAGGCTGGATGGAACCTTTCCTCCTGGAATTCCAAGTGGAGAACCCAAATGTTTTTCCCTTTTGCAGGCACTGGGCATGGAGGTGACCATGGTGCCTGGTAAAGGCCCCAGTTTCCCAGAGCCATTAAGGGAAGAGCAGGACCTGGTACAACTACGCGATCCAGCAGTGGCAGCCTCTGAGCTGGGCTATGTGTTCCAGGCAATCACCCTCACACGACATCGGCTGGATGGGCGTGTCCCACTGATTGGCTTTGCTGGGGCCCCGGTAACACATGGAACAGGCCAGGGGCTCAGGCATGGGAGGATCAGGGTGGTGGTTCTGGTGTAGACAAGGGAAGTGTCAGCCCAGCTTCTGTACCTGTGACATCCTCTTTCCATTCTTTGTAGTGGACCTTGATGACGTACATGATTGAGGGTGGCGGTTCAAGCACCATGGCTCAGGCAAAGCGCTGGCTCTACCAGCGACCTCAGGCCAGTCACCAGCTGCTTCGTATCCTCACCGATACTCTGGTACCTTATCTAGTGGGGCAAGTGGCTGCTGGTGCCCAGGTGAGTCCTAAATGGGAGACAGGTAGGCTGGGGTTCAATCTATAAGCCTGAGAGGGCAGAGGTCTTAATGCCAGACCTGAGGGATCTTGGACTCGGATGAGCTATGTGGAGCAGCCACTGGCAAGGGGTTTTGATGCTCCATGTGCCTGAAGACCAGAGCTGTGCTGGGGTCTGCAGAAAGCAAAACATTTTGACTAGGCCTGGAGTCATAGGCATTATCAGAGATTGAGGTGATGTGAGTAAAATTGAGGCACATTCCTTCTACTTTATGTTACGCATTTCTTCTTACCACCCTATTCACAGGCATTACAGCTCTTTGAGTCCCATGCAGGGCATCTTGGCCCAGAGCTCTTCACCAAGTTTGCACTACCCTATATCCATGATGTGGCCAAGCGGGTGAAGTCTGGACTGCAGGAGGCAGGCCTGGCACCTGTGCCTATGGTGAGGATGGGGATGGGTGAGTGAAGGGGCAGGGCTCTGTAGAGCTTTATGGACAAGTCTTACTTTCACTGAAATGACCACTAGAGGGCAGCAGAGGTGCAGCTCAGAAAGGTTAGTGGGCCTGGCCAGGCCCTCTAGCCTCAGAGATCTGCCTCTCCCCTCTCCACCCTCCACCCTGCCCTCTACCCTCCACCCCCAGATCATCTTTGCTAAGGATGGGCATTTTGCCCTGGAAGAGCTGGCCCAGGCTGGCTATGAAGTGGTTGGGCTAGACTGGACACTGGCCCCAGAGAAAGCCCGGTGAGTTGGGCCCTCCAGGTTGAGGTGGACCGTGGGCAGCTACCATATATATGTTCAGCTGCAAGCACTGGCTGTACTTTCAGGGAGCGCGTGGGGAAGAATGTGACCTTGCAGGGCAACCTGGACCCCTGTGCCCTGTATGCATCTCAGGTAACCACCAGGGTCCCGATGTATGTCTCTGAGTTTGTCTGTGTGCCTGCATCTCAGGTAACCACCAGGGTCCCGATGTATGTCTCTGAGTTTGTCTGTGTGCCCACAGGCATGGTTGTATGAGTTACTGAGTATGGATTTCCACTATGTCTGCCTGACTGACTCTTTCCCACCTCTCAGTTTATACATTGTAAGCTCTTTGAAGCCAGGGACTTTCTTGTTAATTTGTTTTTCTTAGTGCCTGGCCTGTACTAGGTACCAAATATATTTTATTAATGGTTGAGTGTAAACACTGTAGAAGCACGTCGCTGTGTGTATCACTATTATGTATAGAGAGGACAGAGGCCTGCTGTCCATTTCCCCCTGCCGTCACCCCTCCTCACAGCCAGTGTTCTGCTGGTTCCCCAGGAGGAGATCCAGCGGCTGGTGCAGCAGATGCTGGATGACTTTGGGTGTCAACGTTACATTGCTAACCTGGGCCATGGGCTTTACCCAGACATGGACCCAGAACACGTGGGGGCCTTTGTGGATGCTGTGCACAGACACTCACGTCTGCTTCGACAGAACTGAGCATGCACCTCTCCTCCCAGGACCACTGGTGGAGATGATGGTTTCCAGAAGAATAAAAGCCCAAGTACGTGGCTTTGTTTGTGAAATATCTGTGTCCCTGTCCTGACTTCTTTTTAGCCTTGGCTTCTTCCTGAGGCTTCTCCCCATCAAATCACGGGAGCTCAGGTATCAGTGAATATGTGCTATGGGAATTCATATTGGGAATCTCACTACCATATTGGTCGAAGCTATCCAAGCCCTATGTAGCCTCCAAAGTCAGAAGCCACTCTGGCCCGCAGGTTTGCTCGACATTCTCTCTAGAGTATACCCTCAATTTTTCTCAGAATCTTCGTGTTTCTTCTCATAGTGGCTCCTATTTTCTGGGATAAGCCTCTGAGGTCCTGTGAGAGCTGGAGAGGTTTGGTGTGGCAGGAAATTCTTCACCTGTCATCTCACATCTCACACCAAAAGAAACCCTACTGTTGTAGGCCCAACCATCACCCTGTTCCTGCCATGCAATGTGGCAGGGAGAAAAGGACCTTATTTATTGAAGGAATGCATTTTCTGCTTTTAGAGAAATGATCTTTTCTGTGATCCATGATTTATTCATAGGAAAGCACTGTGAGTTCACACATTTGCTAAAAAGAGGGCAATCGTGATACAGAAACAGGAGTGGCTTTTTTCTCTCTCCTTTTTTCTTTTTCACCAACCCATTGGGCTGAGAGATTGTAGGGGCCCATGGCTGGGCAGTAAGACTTCAGTAGCCACAAAAAGTAAGTACAACTTATTGGTTTGTCAGAGCAAAGAAAGGTGACACAAGTTTGTCATTGAAAGGAAAACAAAGGAGACAGGAAGGTCCTTAGTCCACACTCTAGCTACACCACCCTTCCCTAGAACACCCACCCCCACTCAGAAACTAGGACATGGAACAGTCAACACGAGACATTGGCATCCAAAGGACTCTTCTGAATGTCCCTTGCTACCTCCTATACAAATTCCACGCTGTTAACAGGGGACAGGCAGGTAGAAGGAACACGATACACTATGGAGGTCAGCCAAAGCTAAGAAAAAGGTAGCCCAGTAGGGCTAGCAATTAGAAGGGCAAGGCCAAACACATTCTAGCCCCAGCCTCCAAATGAGCGGCCAGAGGGCCTGTGACAAAAGCTGGCAGAGGAAGCTTGAGGTAGAAAGGTGGGGGGAGAAAGCAAGGTTGGAATGAGAAGAGAATGGTAGAGCCCAAGCAGTCAGTTTTAGGGAAGAGGGACCAGTGCCAAGAAGCTTGTTTGTTAAGAGAAAATGGCGAATAGAGGCAGCACAGAGATGGGGGCATGTTTAGCTGGTAAATCAGAGAGGGATGAGGAAGAGCTATCTGTCAAACGAATGGGACACATTCATGCCTGTCCTCAAACATGAGTACACAGACAGACCTACACCTAGAAGTACTCATGAAGACAGACCCCTGATGAAGAGTAGGCATACACACAGACATATATACCCAGACACATACACACTAAACATGCACACACATAAACAGGAATGCACTTACAGATTCAGGCGTGTAAGTATGTGTGTTCCCTCAGAGACACGCACACTCCTGCATACACACATGTATTCATACAACACGTATGTAGACATATGCCAAACTGACACATGCTAAACTGGTATATATGAGGCCCTTCGCTCCCTGCCACATTATAGGGCCGGGACATACAGACAGGCAATCACAGTTCTAACACGCAAAGATCATTAGACACAGCATAATTAGAGATGAAAGAAGACACACTCTAACAAGGGACCAGAGTAGATGTGCGAGTACTTTATAAGCACAAGGGCTTCCCAGACCCCAGGCCCTCAGCTCCCTGCACTTGCTTCTCAGGAGCTCAGCAGGCAGGGGCAGGAACTGGGGTGCCAGTGTTCTCATAGCTTCATGAGGCAAACATCTAAGTCCTGGTCTCTGCCCCTTCCCCACATCTGGGCTACAGATGCCCTGTCTGCAGCCTGGGGTTTCTGCATAGACTAGGTGGGAATAATTCCAACTGGCCATTTCCTCCCTGCCACCCCCACCCTTCCATTGCCAACAGCATATACTCTACAAGGGAAACCTGAGAAATGGTTGTGAGTCTCCTCAGAAAACACAAAGACCTCCTTCCAACCGGCCTAGCCTCCCACCCATCACTACTTCAAGTGCCCATGAAATCAGAACTAGAATTATAAATAGTTACAACTTTACAATGTCATTGGCAACACATATACTATAGTATTTACAGTACCATAAATGCTTCTGTTTCTCTGGTTAAACAATCCCTGAGACGGAACAGTGTTCTGTGTTTGCCAAGGGAGAGAGGGCCATTGCCCAGGAGGCGCGGGATAAGGGGATGCGAGGTGGCATGTTGTGGGGTTTCTGATCAATCTGCAGGGCCCAGCTCCTCCCGGAACAGTGGGCTGAAGTGAGAACCTGGCCAACGCAGGCACAGTAGTTAGAGCTGGGCTCTCCCCATCTTAGCCCTGTGGTCCTTTGGTTTCAGCCACAGGTGCTCAGGGCCATCTCAGGGGGGACCAATGTTTCCATGTCCTTGGCCTGACCTGATGGAACCTAGAAGCCCAGCCTGCCCAGTGGTGTGCTGTCCGTGTCCTCAGCCGAAGCGCTCTCGCACCAGCAGCATCAGCTTCTTCTTGCCTTTGTAGATCTGTTTGAGGTTGTCGATGAACTGGGCAAACTGCAGGTGGCCATCCTGGGGCAGCAGGAAGGTCTCCCGGGCCTTGCTCAGAAACTCAATGAACTCTCCGTAGTGGCGGGGGCTGATGTGCGTCAAACGTGAGTGCGTGGTGTTGATATAGGCATTGATGGTGGCATCCAGCAGCTGACGCAGTGGGGCTTTGTCAGTGGACATAAGCTTCCCGGAACTGCGGCGGCCTGGGATGCCGGCCAGGCCCGGTGCAGTCACCGTGCAGCGCCGCAGGATGTCTGAAAGCACGGTAGCGCAGTGCACGCTCTTCACCACCAGGGGGATGAGGGCCGCCAGCTCATTCTTGCCCAGAGAGTGGCTGAGGGCGCATGCCCAGAGCACATCATTGATGGCTGGGTGGGTGTCCTGGTTATAGGCCAGGTTGAGATGGCTCATGGCCAGTGAGGCCAGCTTGAAGGCACGTAGCGGGTAGCCACGGAGCTCCATGTAGCGGGCGATGGTGAACAGCTGTGAATGGGTCATGCCGCCAGCGGCAGCATCAATGGCGATCTGGTAGGCTGCCTCAAAGGCGATGTGGTCTTTCTCACAGAGTGTGAGCGCCGACAGGGCACAGCTCTGCGGATCCTTCATGGCGCACTGCAGGGCCAGAGTGCGCGCGCAGCTAGCCAGCTCCTCCCGCTGTGGGTAGTCGAGGCTGAGGCGCAGGATGGTGGTATGGGACACGGCCGTGGCAGCCACAATGCTAGTAGCCTCCGTAGGGGTGAAGAGCGTGTACCAGCTCTGCAAGATGCTCACCAGGGCCCGCACACCTGTCAGGGAGAGCCTGAGCTCAGCCGTGGCCATCTGGGTCCCGATCCAGGTCTGCCCAGACCACCATTTGGGGTCAAAACTTGGCCTGCAGAGACCAGTTCTCCCTCTCATCAGCAACCTTGAGAGGATCTGAGGCAAACCAGGGCAACGGGAGCATCCCGGCCGGCCAGCTCCGCATGGGGTCTCCTCCCCTCCCTTCCTTCCCCACACCAGGAGGTTGAAGGTCTTGCAGCTGCTCTGAGCCCCTCCCAAGGGCTGAGCAGCAAAGCCAGTAGCTTGCAGGCAGGTGTTCCAGGTCTGACTGGGGTTCTAGCTGAAGAAGGGTAGAGTCTTGTGCTGGGGCTTTGGGCTCTGGAAGGGGTTTTCAGCCTCTAGGTTGTTTGGGGTTTCTCAGAACCACAGGCGGGGACTGGGACCAAAACACTGGGCTAACTCCCCGCCGCCC